CAGCACTAGACAAATGCCATCTTTGCGCTCCCTTTTAAAGCAGCACTGGAAGCTAAATTAGGCTTTGCTGAGTCATTTCCATTATTCTTTAAGAATGTTCCGAAAAGCTGACTTTGATTGGCAAGTCACTGTGTGTTATTAATGAAATACTGTGTTAAGCTGTATAAGCTTCAGAAAAAAAGAGTTTTGATTCTCCTGGCTTATAAATTCTATTTATTCATACATAATTACAAGAAAATGGAGAGGTTCTTAAAATGCGGACAAATATTCAAGCATCGGCTTTTATACTGACCAGAGAAAAGAACTTCTCATGTATTGTCTAAAGATCTTTACCTATTAAAGAGGGGTGAAGAGCATCTCCCCTCACTAAAGGATGTACCACCCCACTTATCGTAGATGAGCACAAAGAATCCTTCAGCCTACTCTTCTAAAAGCTTCACTATTCCTCCTCAGTTACTTGAAAGCACTAGTTAGCAAGGCATCTACTCAACTTACATTTATTCCCAAAGACAGACCGTGGTCCCTCTAACGTTTGTGATGGGTTAATAGTGAAGAGAGATCTGCTGCTGCTTCTTAATGCCACTCCTTCCCTCCCCTCCATGTTGTATCCCATGGGATTATTACAAGTCTTATTTGGTACAGCAGTAATTATAACAATAACAACACTTATTCAGCACTAACTATGTGCCGTGCGTGCTCTGCTCCAAACACCTTAAACTTATTATTTACTCTTCATATCAACACTGTAACATAAATACTATTATTATTCCCACTTTAGAGCAGAACTCTGAAATATCTTTGGAATATATCCCTTCCTGAATATGCCACAGACCCTAGTCTTCTTTTAATAGACAGTTGGTACCTGCCTTGGTACCCAACTCCTTACCTCTCAAGGTATCCTCCATACTACCTTCAATTATTATTCTACAGTGCAAAGTTCATCACAGTCCTTGCTTAAAATCTTAGCTAATTTGTTTCTTTTTTTCTTTTGGAAACAGGGTCTCGCTCTGTCACCCAGACTAGAGTGCAGTGGCACGATCATAGCTACTGTAGCCTCGACCTCTCGATGGACTCAAGAAATCCTCCTCCCACGTCAGCCTCCCAAGTAGCTGGGACCACAGGTACACAACACCATAAAGTGCTAAGATTACAGGTGTGAGCCACCACGCCCAGCCTTAACTATTTTCTTACTATCTATAGGATTTTACATTCAAAATCCTTAACCCACACAAGAACTTTCACAACTTGAATGCCATGTAATTTCTACTCTTAACTCCTACCTCTTCCTTATTCTACCTCTTTTTAGGCACCAGCCTTAATGAATTCCTCACTCTCCTCACAAATGACATTTCCTCTGCCCAGAATGCTCCCTGCCCCCACTTGCCTGCCTGGCACAAACTTCTGTCTCTTCAAGACTGTTCAATTGTCAGCTCCCTTATCAAGCCTTCTCCAACCACTACAGAATTTCTCCTCTGGGTCCCCACTGCACTTATCTCACAACACTACTTCTGGAAGAAATTTATTTCTCATCCCCTAGAGTATGGGATCCTTAAGAGCACAGTCCATTGTTGGTACATAATACATATGTCCTATATATTATGTCTACCTGATATGAAGTAGACATTTAATAAATAGTGCATGAATCAGACACAAAAACTTGTTCAAAACTACCATCTCAACTGAAATGAGACAATATATGAATCTTGTAAATATTTCCTTTTCTTATTTTCCTACCCAACATCAGAACTCAGGGGGTTTTACAATTTTCCTTACAACCAAAGACAACTATCCCATCTTCATTCTAAATTAGTTCAAAAGATGAAACTAAAAATCCTGCAACTCCCCTTATGTGTGAAAAATCCTAAATTATACACTAAAGCTTTTATATAAACATTTTCTTCTTCAGTGACTAACACTAACTGGAAAAAAAATCCTGCCTGAGGGACTTGGGGAATGCAGACACATTACCCATTCTGCTCAGTATAAGACTTCACGCTACAATATGAGCAGAATTATGTAGTTTCTGCAACTATAACCTATTCAGGTTCTCTAGGCAGCCTGAGAAATCCCCTGTTGCTTCAGATGGATCTATAAGCCTTCAAATGTTCCACTGCACATGGTTTTGAATTACTGTTTTTCATTACTGATGTGCTTTCTACTGGACCCTGCTGTGAGATAAAGTGGAATTATAGCAGCATTACTAGGCTAAAGAATGATTGAGAGATATACAGGGTTGTAATATACTTCTTGAACTTGTAGGCAGGGAGACATCTTTGAATCTTAATGCAAGAGAGGAAAGAATGAAAAAATAAGGTGCAGCTTATCTGCAGATCACACAGATGAAGAATACCTTGCCCATGTCTGTGAGCAGCTAAATCCTACATTAAACACTCAGGCTTAGGGAACTGAAGCACAGGGATGATAGTGATAATGTCTGCAGTCAAACAATATTTCTTATATAACTGATAAACATAAAGCTGATTTCAGGGAATGCTATCCTAAAAGGTAAAATTCAGTTTCCTTGAAGAGTCATGGGTGACGTCAAGGACAAGTGTGCTACCAAACAAAGAGGAAAAAGAGGCTGATTGTTTTAGTATATGTGCTGCCGAATCGAGCACAAGGCTGACTGTTTTAAAGGAAGAAACAATTATGTTAAAGGAAGGGTGGTAAGGACAGAACGAGACCTGAGAGTAGAAAAGTTGCCTATTGTACCAAAAATGTGACCTTCACAACAACATTTAACAATGAAAATTAATAGCTGTGATTGAATTCTCAGACTGACCCCCTGATGACCTTTTACTCTGGTATAAGGGTTGTAGGTAGAACCTGTGGCTGTGATAATGTATCAATCCCTATGAATAATATTATGCCATATGGTAAAGCTGACTTTAAGGAAGAGAGATTATCCCAATGAGCATAATCTACACATGAACTGTTTAAAAAGCTAAGTCTTTGGCTGGTGGCAGAAGTCAGATCTGACACATAAGAAGGACTTGATGAAGCCAGAGCAGCCATGTATCAAGGGAACCACGCCTTCAGACCTACAGACACAAGGATCTGAATTCTGCTAACAACCTGAATGAACCTGAAAGTTGATTCTTCCCAGGAGCCACCAGATAAGATACCAGCATGGTCAACATCTTGATTTTGGCCTTATGAGACCCTAAGCAGAGAACCCAGTCCAGCCCACTAGCTATTCTAATCTACAGAACTACGAAACTACCAGAGAACTGTGAGATGATACACAGGTGTGGTTTTAGGCTAAGATTGTAGTAATTTATTACATAGCAATAGAAAACTCATAAGATAGGGTAAAATGATAACCTGACATTTTAACAGAATCTTTCATATCAGAGATCCCAAAAGCATTTGATGTACTTCACATGAGCTATAAAAAAGAATAAATTCACCTTCTCAAAAAAAAGAAACAAAACATTAATACCAATCAGGACTGAAGGCAGATATCCTAATGAACATGTCCCTAGATAATATCTGATCCATATATTTATTTTGAACAGTTCGAGAATAGCATATGATTTGGAGTTGAATAATAACCCAAGCACAAGTGGAAAGCTGTGCTGCTCCCTTTTTTTTTTTTTTTTTTTTTTTTTCTGAGATAGGATCTTGCTTTGTTGTATAGGCTGGCTAATTTTTGTATGTGCTGCAGAGACAAGTTTTCACCATGCTGCCCAGGCTGGTCTCAAAACTCCTGGGCTCAAGTGATTCAACTGCCTGAGCCTCTCAAAGGGCTGGGACTTCAGGTGTGAGCCATTGGGCCTGTCTACTGCTCTTTTTTAAACCCTCAAATACTGTGCAAATTACTATCGAATTGTAGTCAAGGCTGTTGCCACTTGAGAATGCCTGCTGGAAGACTGGTATAGTTGGCTAGCAGGTGGTCAGTTGGTTAGCAAGCAACCATCAAAATGTCTTCAGTTTCAACAAGATATTTTTTTCCCACTCAAATAACTTTTCCTCAGTGACTCCCAGGACTATCAACTATTTGTTCTATCGGATTGCATAAATCAGAGCAGATACTAGATCTTACACTTTGTATCACTGCTCTACTTAACACTGAGACATCCACTAGCTGTGGCACCTACAGCAAGTTACTCTCTCTAAGCTTCGATTCCTTCATCAACCTCATAGGGAGGGACTGAAGATTAAACAAAATGAACATAGGAGGCATTTAGGACACTGTCTAGTAAAATGCGAAGCTCAATAAATATTTACTATTTTACATATCACTCAATTATCAATTGACTGAATAAAAAAACAAAATTAGCTGGGCATGGTGGCACACACCTATAATTCTAGCTACCCAGAAGGCTGAGGTATGAGAATTGCTTGAACCCAGGGGGCAGAGGTTGCAGTGAACCAAGGTTGTGCCACTGCATCCCAGCCTGGGCAACAGAGTAAGATGCTACCTTAAAAAACACACACACAAAAAGAACCAATTGGAACTTCAAGAGATAAAAAATGAAAGAGCTGCCCAGGCACGGTGGATCACGCCTGTAATCCCAGCACTTTGGCAGGTCTACACTCAGATCACTGAGGCCAGGAGTTTGACACCAGTCTCACAAACATGGTGAAACCATGTCTCCACTAAAAATACAAAAATCAGCCAGGTGTGATGGCACATGCCTATAATCCCAGCTACTCGGGTGGCTGAGGCACTAGAATCACTTGAACCCAGGAGGCAGAGGTTACAGTGAGCCGAGATCACGCTACTGCACTCCAGCCTAAGCAACAGAGCAAGACACTGTCTCAAAATATATATAAAAATAAAAAAGGAAAAATAATTCCATCTAATGGGATTAACAACAGATTAGACACTTCCAAAAAAAAAAAAAAATCAGTGAACTTGAAAACACAGCTATATAAACTATACAACCTGAAGCAGCCTGGGTGATGGGATCAGTCATACCCAAACCTCAGCAATACATAATATACCCTTGTAACAAACCTGCACATATACCCTCTGAATTTAAAATAGAAGCTGATTTCAAAGTGCCAAGTTTAGTTCAGGGCAGCTTCCCTGTTCTGTTAACTAAACTCTGGGACATCGAAATGGGATATGGAAGACTGGTTAGAATATATTATTTTATTCATTTGCCTCCCAGCTTATAAAAATGCCTGCTTTGGTCTAGTATATAAACAGTTAAAGATGCCCAGAAGAGATAGGACTGAAGAGGCTGAAGACTTACTGAGCTTGAACTAACAGACAAGTTACATTCAGTTTTAGGACTTGAACTAACAGACAAGTTATATTAAGTTTTAGGAAGTTGGGTCTGATGAGCTAAAACAAAAAGAAACTAAATTATTTTCATACATGGCTACTTTTCAGAAATAAAAACAAAACAGAAGCTGAAATTTGTTTAAAAAAAGAAGATAAACAGATTTTTAACATTATAAAACAGAAAAAATAAAAATTCTGAATAAATATTTAATTTTATTTCTTTTTTTTTTTTTTCATGAACCATACATGAGACTTAAGGATTATTTAACTATTTTTGAAAAACTGAAACAGGAAAAAAGTCTGGTCAGAATCTCAGTAACTTGTGTATAATATCAAGCAATTTTTCTTTTTTTTGAGACGGTCTCAGTCTATTCCCCAGTCTGTTCCCCAAGTGACACCATCTTGGCTCACTGCAACCTCTACCTCCCAGGTTCAAGCAATTCTCGTGCCTCAGCCTCCCAAGTAGCTGTGCTTATAGACATGTGCCACCACACCCAGCTAATTTTTGTTATCTTTAGTAGAGATGGGGTTTCGCCATGTTGGCAGACTGGTCTCAAACTCCTGACCTCAAGTGATCCACTCACCTCAGCCTCCCAAAGTGCTGGGATTACAGGTGTGAGCCACTGTGCCCAGCCTCAAGTATTCTGATATACATGTAATCAGAGTTCCAAAAGGAAAAGAGAAAAAAGGAAAGAAAAGACATTCGAGAAAATAATGGCTGAAAATTATACAAAACTAGAGTGAAACAGCAAGACAGCAGACTAGGAAGCTCTAGGCCCTCATTCCCCCAAAGACATATCAAATAACAACATACAGACCAAAGTAGCATTGGGAAAATCCTAAAAACCAGTTAAGAAGTTGCAGGAACCAAACATACACCTAACCATGAAAATGTCACACTTCAAAGTGGTAGAAAATGTTGTGGCATTTTCATTCATCCTTGCCCCACTCAATCTATCCCACCCTGTCCCACCGATGAGAAGAAGCTGCCCAGTTTCTAGCTCCTCCCTCAGGATGGAAGCAAAAATAGAACTAGCTTCAATGTTCTGGCCTGTCTGGGGCAGCCTGAGGGACTGGTTTCTGGTGGCATAGTGTGGATATCAGCTGGAGGCCACTGAAAGCAGTAGCAGGCACATGGTGGGGTGAGAGAGTGCAGATTATGAGTAACTGGGACAAAAGGATTGCTGGCAGAGGAATATAATAGACCACCTAAGGGTCCAAGAATAAGCAGGGGTGAGACTCAGTGAAATCAGGACATTTAAAAGCAGCTACATATACAGGGGAACTTTAACAAAAAAAAGAAAAAAGCACACACTATGATCTAGGCATGGTGGCCCATGCTTATAGTCCCAGCTACTTGGGAGGTTGAGGCAGGAGGATCACTTAAGCCCAGGAGTTCAAGGCTACAGTGAGCCATGAATGTGTCACTGCACTCCAGCTTGGATGAGAGTAAGGCCCAGCATTTAAAAATTGTGTTTAATAGAAAAATAAGCCAGGCGCGGTGGCTCAAGCCTGTAATCCCAGCACTTTGGGAGGCCGAGGCGGGCGGATCACGAGGTTAAGAGATCGAGACCGTCCTGGTCAACATGGTGAAACCCCGTCTCTACTAAAAATACAAAACATTAGCTGGGCATGGTGGCGCGTGCCTGTAATCCCAGCTACTCAGGAGGCTGAGACAGGAGAATTGCCTGAACCCAGGAGGCGGAGATTGCGGTGAGCCGAGATTGCGCCACTGCACTCCAGCCTGGGTAACAAGAGCAAAACTCCATCTCAAAAAAAAGAAAAAAAGAAAAAGAAATGGCACATGCACAGGCCCAAGGAAGATACATCCCCGGAAAAGGTTTGAAAAGACTCTGGGATAATCTGAGATAATTTTTTTTAAATTACCAAAAGAATTAAGCACAACAGTATCTTATAAGTCCTTGAAGAAAGAAAAATTCATAAAACCATACCAATAAAAATTAGATAAATTACAAAGTAAGGGGAGAAGGTAGATCTCCTGCTTATAGTAGGATGTAGAAAGCTAACTACTAAATGTGGAGAGAATGCTTTAGAGTTGGAAAATGATGAATTTGCAATGATCATGGTTAAAGACTGGATCAGGCAAGAATAATCAATGGAGGCAGAACCCAAAGAGAGATGTTAATGAGGAACAGAATATTTGCACAGTCTTTAAGTATCTCTCTGCAGACTGCTTATTAGTTGCAAGACAAAAATAAAATAGTCATTACACTGAGGAGAAATTGGGTAGCATTCTGATTCAAGTATAACATCATCTATGTAAGGTAGATGCAGATTACATGCCCCCAGATGTGATAGCCTGAGGACACAACATTACCTATATAGTACTCTGACTGAGAAAGCGCAACGTAAAGCTAAACACAAGGAAACATAAGAAAAACACAAAATAAAGAATGCTCTTGAGGCTGGGCATGGTGGCTCACACCTGTAATCCCACACTTTAGGAGGCCAAGGTGGGTGGATTGCTTGAACTCAGGAGTTCGAGACTAGCCTGGGCAACATGGTAAAATCCCATCTCTACCAAAAATACAGTTAGTCAGGCATGGTGGTGCATGCCTGTGGTCCCAGCTACTCAGGAGGCTGAGGCGAGAGGACAGCCTGAGCCTGGGAGATTTGAGGTTGCAGTCAGCCAAGATAATGCCACTGCACTCCAGCCTGCCAGCCTGGGAAACAAAGTGAGATCCTGTCTCAAAAGAAAAAAAAAAAAAAAAACACAGAATGCTCTTTTTACAAAAAAAAAAAAAAAAAAAAAAAGCTAGATACTATATGGGATAAATACAAGGAAAAAAGGCTAAACAGGACTATGTTCTTCAGCTATGTCAATAACATAAAATTCAGAAAGGGTATGAAAATGTTCCTGCTAAAAGAGGTTGAAGAGACATAAAAACTAAGCTGGGTATGATATCTATAATTCCAACACTTTGGGAGGCTGAAGCCAGAGGATCACTTGAGGCCAGGAGTTTGAGATCCTCCTGGTCAACATAGCAAGACTCTGTCCCTACAAATTAAAAAAAAGAGAGGAAGAGAGACAAAAAACTAAATGCAATGCCTGATCTTACCCTGGATCTTGTACTGAAGGGGGAAAATATTATAAAGGACAGTATTAGATCTTATGCCATTAAAGCTTATACTGTTCTATGGTATATTCCTTATACTATCTTTATACAAATTTTTGCACATTACTTCCAATTAAAGAAATCTTAAAAGTCTGCCAGATAAGAATGACAACAAATTTCTCTTTTTGAGACAGAGTCTCACTCTGTTACCCAGGCTGGAGTGCAGTGGTGTGATCTCAGCTCACTGCAGCTTCTGCATCCCAGGCTCAAGCAATTCTCCCTGCCTCAGCCTCTGGAGTAGCTGAGATTACAGGCACCCACCACCACACCAAGCTAATTTTTGTAGAAATGGGGTTTCTCCATGTTGGCCAGGCTTGACTCAAACTCCTGACGTCAAGTGATCCACCTGCCTCGGCCTTCCAAAGTGCTGAGATTACAGGCATGAGCCACTGACCCCAGGCAACAAAAAATTTCTTATTAGAAACTGTACCTGGCCAGGTGTGGTGGCGTGTCATCCCAGCACTTTAGGAGGCTGAAGGAGGTAGACGGCTTGAGCCCAGAAGTTTGAGACCAGCCTGGGCAACATGGCAAAACCCAATCTCTACAAAAAATACAAAAATTAGCTGGCATGGTGGTACACACTTGTAGTACCAGCTACTTGGGAGCCCGGGAGGTGGAGGTTGTGGTGAGCCAAGACTGCACCACTGCACTCCAACCTGGGTATCTGAGTAAGACTCTGTCTCATTAAAAATATATATATATAAAAAAATAAAGAAACTATACATTCCAGAAGACAGTGAAATTTTGTGTTCACAGTGTTGAAAGAATAAACTATCTACTTAGAATTCTATAACTAGTAAAAATCTTTGAAAAAAGAAGGTGAATTAAAAATTTTTTCAAACAAAAGCTGAGATAAATTATTTCCAGATCTGAACTGTAAGAAATGTTAGGCTCAGCATGATGGCTCACGCCTGTAATCCCAGTGCTTTGGGAGGGCAAGGTGGGCGGATCACCTGAGGTCAGGAGTTGGAGACAAGCTGGCCAACATGGTGAAACCCTGTCTCTACTAAAAATACAAAAATTAGCTGGGCATGGTGGCAGGTGCCTGTAATCCCTCCTACTCAGGAGGCTGAGGCAGGAGATCTCTTGAATCTAGGAGCGGAAGGTACAGTGAGCTGAGATTACGCCACTACATTCCAGTCTGGGCGACAGAGCAAGACTCTGCCTCAAAAAAAAAAAAAAAAAAAGAAATGTTACAAGACGTTGTTTTTATAAAGAAGCAAAACAGACAACAAGAAGGCAAAAGCCAGGAGGAGGAATGGATAATATATTGTAAGGTTCTTGCATTAAACATAAGGTGGTGTAATATTACTTGAAGGTAAACTGTGATAAGTCAAAGACATGTATTGTAAACCTTAGAGCACTTATTTAAAAATAAATAAAACAACCATAGCTAATAAGCCAATTTTTTGATGAAATAAAAAAATTTTAAAACCCTCCAAAAAAAAAAAAGAAAGAAAGAAATTTCTCCTGGGGTCAGTTAACAAAAAAATTTAAAAAAGAAAATGAATGAATGAATGAATTAAAACCCTCAATCCAGCTGGGCACAGTGGCTCATGCCTGTAATCCCAGCACTCTGGGAGGCCGAAATGGGTAGATCACCTGAGGTCAGGAGTTCGAGACCAGCCTGACCAATGAGGTTAAACCCTGTCTCTACTAAAAAAAAATACAAAAATTAGCCAGGCGTGGTGGCATACACCTATAGTGCCAGCTACTCAGGAGGCTGAGACAGAGAATCACTTGAACCCAGGAGGTG